AAAAAAAAAACTTCACTGAACACACAGAAAACGTCAAAAGTAGTATATCTGAGAAAATCTTTAAAGGAAAAAAAAATCGAGGAAACGAATAAGCAGGACTACTAAGTGTTTCAGAGTTCCTGTTTCTCCATTTTTTTTTTTTTTTTTTTTTTTTTTTAATATCTTCCAAACGAACCAACCGTGAGATACTTACGGGATCCCACTTTCACGGGCCTGTTCTTAAAAGAGTGTTTTACTTAAAAACAGGTAATTATCTACCTGTCACGTTTTACCTGTTCGAATATCTTCTCGTTTGAAGGATACTACGCTCTCAAAATCAAGAGTAAACGCCATAATTGAATACATTTGGCAAGGAATGAAAATGCCAAAAGGTAGGACAGAGTGTGAAAAAGTCCGTGTTAAAGTACTATACTGAGCTGACTATTTGAGTCGCCTATGTCTAAAGACGATAAAAAAAAAAAAAATGATAAAAGAATAGAGAGTGGATACAAGTATGTTTGTCAACAAATTAAATGGTGAAAAAAAAACAGAATAAATAAATAATAGACACAAGTATTCTTGGGTCGTCTATGTGTAAAGACAATAAAACAGATAAAAGAATAAATAATTGACACAAGTATGTTTGTCAACAAATTAAATGGTGAAAAAAATAGTAGACACAAGTATGCTTGTCATAAAATGAAGTGGTGAAAAAATAAATATGATAAAAAATAAACAGTGGACGTAAGTATGTTTGTCAAAACAATGAAGTGAAAAAAAGATAAATAAACCGTGGACACAAGTATGCTTGTCATAAAATGAAGTGGTAAATATAATGTTTCAGTCGAAAATTCAAGCGACAGCAATGAGAGTCTACATCATGAATTAAATTCACTTTGTTCTATCTCTCTCCCTCTCTCTTTCTATCTATCTATCTATAGATCTATCTATCTCTCTATATACCTATCTCTATCTATCTCTATCTCTATCTCTATCTCTATCTCTATCTCTATCTCTCTCTCTATCTATCTATCTATCTATCTATCTATCTATCTCTATCCATCTATCTACTTATCTCTGCCTCTATCACTATCTCTCTCAATTCTAATTCTAAAGAATAGGCTTTTGAACATTCAAGGATTTTTACCAAATGCTTGTTATGGATGCACGAATATGAATTTGACTTTTAACACCATGTCGTCGGTAACTACGTCCTGTGGAAGATTTACATTAACTTTTCAAATCCTCCTGTTATTTAAATGAGAAAAAGTGTAAACCAAATGAAGGAATTTGTTATATTGTCAGAGGAGGAGCATAATCTTACTCGAAATTATTTATAGATCGTTTATCATTGCAGTTGTTATGTACATGTATGTGTTAGGTAGACAGATAGATAGATAGAGAGAGAGAGAGAGAGAGAGGGAGGGAGAGAGAGAGAGAGAGAGAGAGAGAGAGAGAGAGAGAGAGAGAGAGAGAGAGAGAGAGAGAGAGAGACAGACAGACAGAGAGACAGACAGACAGACAGGCAGGCAGGCAGACACACAGAGGGAGAATTCTATAGAGCAACTTTTCTCTTAACATCATCCTAGTGTTACAAAATAAAGAATCTAATGGAATCTACTCAATTAACAGAGAACATTCGTCGAGATGTGAACAATATGTGTTTATTCTGACCATGGCGAGGCTGTTGGAAATTTAACGCAAATAAATAAGGGAAGCCAAAACTTTCTGGATGTGGCAAACTTTTAAATTATCGGTAATGCTCGGAAATAAAGTCCGAATTGAATTTCAGAAGAGAAAATCAATAATTGCTCAGACGTCAACGGGGGTAAATGCAATAGGATGATACAGGAAACATGATTTCTCACATCACACGCAGACGGAGGCACACTTCCATGCACACACACATGCACGCACACACACGCGCGCACACATATATGTTTTGGAGATAACAAAAGCAAAATAAAAAAAGATAATTATTCCGAAATATGGAAACAGAACAGAAAGAGTAACACACACACATACTCGAAAAATTGGTATATAGCAGATAATTATAATTAAGCAAATGCAGCTGGTGACAGATACCTACGGTTGGTGGTTAACGGGGTAAACAGGTTAGTTGCAATGCTAGAATAATTCAGCTACTCAAACTTTCGTATTCAAGATTAAAGCAACTTAACTATGATCACGTTAAATTTGTTACGAAGGGAGATCATAGTTAAAAGGGTGGTTGTGAACTTCCTAATTGCCGGGAAGGATGGTTTACTCAGCTGTAGGCCTGTCATGATAAACTCGCCTTTGTGTTCAAGAATACAGTGACGCAGCATCGGACATAGTTCAGAGTTGCATTTTATATTTTCCTTTAAAAATACCCTTGGTGTTACTATTAAAAAGATAATAAAAATGAAAACAGATAGCAGTGTGTTTAAGTTAGTTTCTGATCGCCCATGTATAGATGTGTTCAAGAGTCAGTGTCCTGGCAGATACTAACATAGAAAATCGAGTAGAACTTTATGAGATAGGTTTAATGGGTACCAATTCTCAAGTAAAAGGCTTCTTCAACAAATTTAGCCCAAGCGGAACAATGTTTTCAACACTATTAATAAGTGTGTTAGGGCTGTTAAGTAGAAAACCCGTGAATTATTGGTAAACAAGAATAATTATCATAGGTAAGGACGCGTGCACAGAGAAAGCAGGTTTGCCCGCACCGGCAACCCGCGCCGACCCGAGCCAAGAATTAATCCACATAAACAAGTGTAGGTGTGCACAGGGGAAGCAGGTTCGAGAATGCCTGCTTCAACCTGCTTTCCTGTTTGCTCGGATCATTCTTGCCTGCTCAACCCGCGCGAGTGGACGCTACTGAATGGAGGGCAAGATGGATGTTGAGCTCCTGGCAGCCTTTGTGGAATAAATGGAATAAGCACCACGTCAACAGAAACGTGGTAGATAGGCCGTGGGCTGAAATCAACCATGATCATACTCTCCAAACTCTTATCTCTTGTAGTTTATTTCATGTACTGCTCTTCATTTTCTTCTGACTTTTGTATAAACATTATCGAACAGCATGAAGTCATCATCAGAAGATGAGCTCGACTTCTTGTATACCTTGCGGATTGCTACTGATGACAGATACTGCCCCTGTCCGTGTCGCTCACCGAGCAGGTCGGAACTGGTTACTCGCGTCCTTTGCGAACACCTTATCATGCTGGTTTCCGGTGCCGACCCGCACTCGAAACCAGCGCGCCAGTAACCTTCTTTCTCTGTGCACGTACCCTAATGGAAGCATCAAGAAATGACAGTTTCAGTATTCTGTTCAATTTCACAGGTGACTTTAATTCAAGCATAAAAGGAAAGGATTAATATGAAAAAGGTTGTTAAAGAGTAGAAAAGTGTCGTCCGTGTATAAAATAGCTTTTAAATCTGTGTGTAAATAGTCATTTGATGTAAATGCTGAATTGTGAGGAGCTTTGTCCAATGATTGTTTTATTCAGGCCAAACAAGTTTAAAAGTGAAGTGGTTGTTTTGTAATCAGAGAGTGAAGGTGAAAGATATATATAAAGATATATATTACGAGACAGACAAACCGACAGACAGACAGAAAGGGAGAGAGGAAGAGGGAGGGAGAGAGAGAGAGAAATGGCGAGACAGAGAGACATACAGTGACAGACAGACAGAAAGGGAGAGAGAAAGGCAAAAAAGAGAGAGAGGGATCAATTTGTAACAAGTAAATCATTATCAGTAGATGAAGATGACACCAAAACGTAACTGTCAGAGAAATGATAACACTTCCACTGGGTAATTTTGCCCACAAAAGAACAAAGCTTTAGTTCACTTTCTATCTCCTGGTCTCTAACCTGTTGCTCAATCGTCCTCTAAAAACAAAATGATAATAATTAGATAGAATAAAAGAAGACGTGAACCTATAGATTGTATGAATGAATTTTGGAGTGCATTCTGAATATTTTCAGTTCCTCGCTTGGCTGTTAACTGGCACAATAATAAGACCGCCTTCACAACCTTAACAACACGAACAGCATTGATAACGATAGAATGAAAAGTAATAAAACCCAGTGTGTGTTCCCGTAGAGTTTATATGACCGCTCTAAAGACCAAAAATATATTCTTTTTATCCCAAAATGTCGGAAAACTTCATTAGAGTCTGAACCTCCGGGCGAGATCGTAGTCTGGCATTCTCGTTACCATTAAAAAGAAATACATTTTTTAAAACCTCTTTGGTAACGTATTCTAGCAAATATCAATGAGAGGTTATTTGGTCAGCAAGCAAAATGATTTTACAAGATCAAACATTAAGGCTTATTTTCTCTTTTGCGAAATAGTTGGGATATTTTTTTTTTTTTTTATATAAAAATGATAATGATGGCAGATATAATAATGACGCTGGAGGCAATAGGATAATGCTAATAGCAATAAACGATCAGATATTTAACGCAGATTACTATTGCTTTATACGACTGCAACAAATATGATGATGATATTCATTATTATGCCAATATGCCAATGATGATGATATTCATTATTATGTCAATATGCCAATGATGATGATATTCATTATTATGTCAATATGCCAATGATGATGATATTCATTATTATGCCAATATGCCAATGATGATGATTAGGGCAATATTGCAATGATTCTGACTGTGATGTTGAATTTATAACAGTAATGTCTAGGATAAGAATATACAAGATGGTACGAATGATGATGATATTGCTTATACTAATCCTGATTGTGATGATGATAATGATCATTATAATCCTAATTGTAATTATTGATAATGTTAATGATAATCCTAATTGAGATAATGATGATGCTCAAGATAACCCTGATTATGATGATGATAATACTCATGATAACCCTAATCATGATGATGATAACGCTCATGATAACCCTAATTATAATGATAATCCCCATGATAACCCTAATTATGATAATAATCGTGATAAAAAAAAGTCTTAATAAAAACCTTTTTTTATTACCTTTCCCTTCGCCCCCCCCACAGGATCTCGGTGATCTTCCGGGTACGTTCGGCCAAAGCGGTCAAGATAACGGATCTCGACCTCATGAAGAGACTGGGCATCATCGTCGGGGTCTTCGCTGTGTTCCTGGGCATCCGGACGGTCGTGGCTCCTCCGCAGGTGAGTTGGGAGAAGGGGGAAGGCGAAGAGAGGGAGTGGGAGGGAGGGAGGAGGGAGGAGGGAGGAGGGGAGGGAGGGAGGGAGGGAGGGAGAGAATGAGAGAGAGAGAGAGAGAGAGAGAGAGAGTGTGTGTGTGTGTGTGTGTGTGTGAGTGAGTGAGTGAGTGAGTGTGCGTGTGTGAGTGAGTGTGTGTGTGTGTGTGTGTGTGTGTGTGTGTGTGTGTGTGTGTGTGTGTGTGTGTGTGTGTGTGTGTGAGTGAGTGAGTGAGTGTGCGTGTGTGAGTGAGTGTGTGTGTGTGTGTGTGTGTGTGTGTGTGTGTGTGTGTGTGTGTGTGTGTGTGTGAGTGAGTGAGTGAATGAGTGAGTGAGTGAGTAAGTGTGTGTGTGTGCGTGTGTGTGTGTGGTCTCGGCCTGATCCTTTTTGCTTTCAGGGTTATGTGTATCTATTCACGTTGTAGTATTTGATGTTAATACATCGCTTTGTTTCTTCTTGCCTCCCCCCCCCCCCTCTCTCTCTCATTTTATATTTCCTGTCTTTGTCACACACATATATGCAAACACACACACTCACTTACTCACTCACTCACTCACTTCAACACACACACACACACACACACACACACACACACACACAGACAAACAGGCAAAGAGGTAGAAACACACACACACACACACACACACACACACACACACACACACACACACACACACACACACACACACACACACACACACACACACATACAGACAAACAGACAAAGAGGTAGAAACAGAGACATAGAAAACCACCGCCCTGTGAGTTGTACATCCAAGTAGACGATGAAAACAATAGTGAGAGAGAGAGAGAAAAAAAACGAGTATGGTGAATCTTGAAGCCGCTGTAAATAGATTGGCGGAAGACTGTAATGAAATCAAGGCAGGATCGGCAACAGAAACAGGGGGAGCGGTTGCAGAACTCATAGAAAACGTGAGGTGAACAACAACGAGGAGGGACTACACTAGAAGATAAAAAAAAATTGTTAAAATATAAAATCTAGAGCACGATAAGACTTAGACATTTGAAAACAAATTACGCAAAATTAATTAAGGTGGAAATAAAAACAGACGAAATGTCTATCGATAAAACAAAGAAACTCGAAGCAATTGTTCGTCGATATTGAGAAAGTCCAAACAGGACCTTAATGGAATGGGGATGAAGTTTGAAAAGGACGAATGACGATATTAGAATACAACTTGGACTGCATACGAAAAAGAAAAGAAAGAAAGAAAAAAGAAGAATAAGCAAACTTGGCTGACACAAAATCAATGTTCGCCGGGATACTTAAAAGGTCCTGAAAGATAACGCTGACAGACAGAAGATGAGGGAAGATGATTGCTAATATGCAGAGAATCATAAATCCTCGGACAAAGACAAAACTAGACATGTCCAATGTTAGAGGAGTAGGAGGGGGGGGGGGGTTCGTTTGGAGGACGAGAAGTTTCAGACTATAAATCTACTACCTGAATGAAAACGGGAAATCGAAATGGCATTAGCAGCGCAGACTAAAGGAAATTTGATTATCAAGTATTCATTTTACACAGATGCAGATGGCTTATATTCAAATTATTTAAAATCAGAAACAATAACTGAATCGAATAAATCGGGTCACTTTCACTACATTTGATCGTTCCTTTAAAAATGCAACATCAGACTATGATATTTGGTGAAAAAATAAAACAATTGCCAGTGGAAAGCAGCTAGATATAACAACAAAAAAAGGATTAACAATAAAACCGTTGAATATTAAAAACGACAAAGAGCTACACAATAAACCGAAATTCATGAAACTGAAATACACAGACTGAGTTGAAGGAAAAACTAGAGAAAGGACATCCTAAAAAGTAAACACATGAGACCTGTCATTAAATATAAAAACTCAGCATGGAGAGCAAATAAAAATTAAGCGGAGTGTTGCAAGTTTTGGCACCAATTGTTTATAATTTACGAATGATCTGGGGGTCAAACATAAGCCCAGACAACTATCTGAATATGTTGTATATATACAGATAATACAAATGTACTGTAGTTAGGTTTGGTGATAACAAAACCCTACCTTTCATTTATGAAGAGAAACAGTAGTAAACATTAAGAAAGGGGAAAGACCAGGGACTAACTGTTAACTTAAACCGAAATGATCTTATACACGACAATTTTAAGAAAACTGTGTTATGAAAAGGCTAAGGAAACTGGATAAGACAGAGTCAAGTTCGAAAAAAAAAATCACGCATGCTTCAAACTCACTGACCTCAAAGAAAGACTGGATCAAGCACCCTATTGTTTCGCGTGGGTTGTTTGTGAAGCAAACAAATCCTTGAGGCACCATGACAGTGACCCAAAGCGCAGCCGCTCTTTGTAGCTACCACTGATTTCAATTTTTTGAGATCAATGGTTGCAACAGCTGCACTATAGTTAATACTAAATTTATCTCAACCTTTGCAAACTTTCCAATCTGGGTAATGAGTGGCTTTGCTACCTTTGGGCCATACGGCTCAAAGGGTTAAATGGTATTTTGCTACCATTGCACTATTGCATTGTGATAGCGTGTTATGTTTGCTAATTGGATTTCTATCCATTCAATATTTTCACGAAGAAATCAAAGATAGAATTCGATTTATCAGTTGTTACGAAGCTCAAAGAAAAATTTCTTACGTTTTGGAAACTATGTACGATATCTACCTAGGGCGAGGGCCTGAGGAATGCGGCTGCAAAATGTGAACATTTTATATTGGCTGTCGAATACAAATATACTGTTAGATTTGAACAATTAAAAATGACAGAAACTTGTTGCAATGTTTTTGTACGATAGGCCATCATATCACCTACAAACTTTTACATTACCTAACTCCCGCAGTTTCTCTGTCATTTATCGGCATCCATTAAATACTGCTACAAACCACCTGCATCTGCCTATCCATTACTGAAAACGCTACCCACTTGCGGATAAACATCGCATTGAAGTAGTTTTTATCAAATTTCCACCGAGGCCATCACAAGTAGGCCAGTGTTGTCACTTGATTTTAGGTCATACTGTCATGGCGGCCATAATTTCACGCTAGCTTCAATTTGCAAACATTGTGACTCTTATTGCTCAGGTCAAAAGAGTTTCCGAAGCTTTATTCATGAAACGATTTTCCTCAAGACTGTACGTAGACGAAAACATAAGAAAAGGGAAAAAAAATTTACAAGACAGTGAAAAGGAATCCCCCAAGGAGAGTCATAAAATTCAACTAGCGACAATTGAATGAAATGCGACTTTAAAAGAAATATGATGAAAGAGTGGAAAAGAAATTGGAAAAATTTTACCACGAAAGACGGGGGAAAAAGTAAAAGGGATCGGGAACAGTTCAATTAGACAAAGAAAAAAAATGTAACATTTAAACCCATCAAAAAAGTCGAGAATAAAATCTGGTTGACAATGCTGTTGGGAGATTTTATTTTCCACGACAACTGTTGATGTGTGGAGCAGCCTTCCAGAAAACGCTGTGTGCCAGAAACGTACGGCAATTTTATGATCTGATAATATATGGTAATCTATATATTCATGAGTTCACACACACACACACACACACACACACACACACACACACACACACACACACCAACTCACACAACACACAAACACATAAAAGCATAAACACACACACAAAACACACACACAAACACACATAAAAACACAAACACACACATAACACAAACACACACAAAAAGAACACACACACACAATAATAGACAAGCACAAGAACCGCTTCTTTACCAATTAGCTTCATTAAAACGAAACAACCAACTTCGTTACCGCATCAACCACGTATATCCCTGCATGCAATACCTCCAGCATTTCTTTTAATTTTCCTTTTGAAGAAGTCTTTACCGATTAAAATTTTGTTTGTTCTCTCTTTCTCTTTCTCTCTCTCTCTCTCTTTCTCTCTCTCTCTCTCTCTCTCTCTCTCTCTCTCTCTCTCTCTCTCTCTCTCTCTCTCTCTCTCTCTCTCTCTCTGTCTGTCTCTCTCCTTTTTTTGTCCTGATATCGACAGGCCTTAAGACTTCCATAAAAAATATTGTATTTATGTTTGTTCTTTCTTTTTCTCTCTCTCTCTCTTCCTCTCTCTCTCTTCCTCTCTCTCTCTCTCTCTCCTCTCTCCCTCTCTCTCTCTCTCTCTCTCTCTCTCTCTCTCTCTCTCTCTCTCTCTCTCTCTCTCTCTCTCTCTCTCTCTCTCTCTCTTTCGCTCGCTTTTTTTTTGTCCAGATATTATCGACAGGCCTTAAGACTTCTATAAAAAGATTGTGTTGCGTGTTCGTGTGGATGTGTTTATGTCTTTTACGTGTATGTTTGCGTGTGTGTTTTCGGGGCCGCTTTGTGTGTTTTATTTTATTTTCTCTCCGTGTATATGAGTGTTTCGCATGTGGAGAAAACTCTTTATCTCACTCACTCTCTCTCTCTGTTTCTGACTCTCTGTCTCTGTCTGTTTGTCTCTCTCTCTCTCTCTCTCTCTCTCTCTCTCTCTCTCTCTCTCTCTCTCTCTCTCTCTCTCTCTCTCTCTCTCTCCCTCTCCTCTCCTTTCTCTCTCTTTCTCTCTCTCTCTCTCTCTCTCTCTCTCCCTCTCCTCTCCTTTCTCTCTCTTTCTCTCTCTACCTACCTATCTATATATCTCTCCCTCCCTCTCTCTCTCTCTCTCTTTCTCTCTTTTTCTCTATCTCCTCTCTCTCTCTCTCTCTCTCTCTCTCTCTCTCTCTCTCTCTCTCTCTCTCTCTCTCTCTCTCTCTCTCTCTCTCTCTCTCTCTCTCTCTCCCTCTCTCCCTCTCTCCCTCTCTCCCTCCCTTACCCTCTCCCTCATCTCGCCAGAGACAAGAACGTGAGCGATTGAGTCTCACGAGCACACATGTGTTAGTGTCTCACTCGCTTGTTTTCATTTTCTTTCGTTCTTCGAATGTCTTTTTTCGTGCGCTCGTAATAGTCACTTTCT